ATTAAAAAAAAAAAAAAAAAAAGAGCCTGGCTGGTGTTGCTCGGTGGTTGATCTTCTACCCAAGAGGTCATGGTCTGATTGATTTCCGGTCAGGGCACAGGCCAGGTTTCAGGCTCGATCCCCAGTGGGGGGTGTGCAGGAGGCAGGTAATCGCTATTCCTCTGTCATCAGTGTTTTTATCTCTATCCCTTTCCTTTCCTCTCTCTCCAAAAATCAATAAAAATATATTATAAAAAAATTCCATTGAAGTCTTACTAATGGACAAGTGCAGTAATCCAAAACTGTAATTAAACGCTGAGCTTTAAAATAGGGTGTCTTTCTATTTAAAATACAGCAAACCAAAATTAATTTAAAATGAAATTTATAGTCCCTGATCATACACCTTTTAGTAGCTGGAGAAAGTAATTCTGACGGAGAAAGAAAATTTCGGATTAAAAATGTACCAAGTCAACACATTAATTTTGTGTAGACAACCCCCCCCATTTTTACTTTTTAAAATCAGTTCCTAAACATTTCTGACATCCTCCCCTCTTATAAAAAAGCAATGTGTTGGGTGTTTTGCCATTAGGTAAGATGTTCCCTGTTAGTTTCTGATATTCTTCTTCTTCATTAAGTTAACAAAATGTGCCTGACTTCCTAAGAATTTTCATCAAGGGAAATATAATGAATTTTCTTCAGATGCCTTTTCTGCATCAACTTGATCATATAGTTTTCTCCTTTCATTTACTCACATAATTATTTTAAAATATTTATCAGCATGAATCTATCATGAAATAAATTTGAAATTAATATGGATTATCTGGCCTGCAGGATCTTTTAATATATCCCACCCCTTACTCCTTGTTTAAGAAACTTGCCAGGCTTTCTCAGTCACTACTGTCTTTGTATCCTTTGCCAAAGGAACAGCTTTTCTTCTTTTTGGGGCTTCTTAGTATATTCCCAATCATCTTTCAAGACTCAGCAAATTAAAGTTTTTTCTGTTTCTTCATTTCCCATCACTCCCCACCCCAACACATACACAGAATTAGGCACATCTTACCCTGCTCTGGTACCTTCTCATGCTGCTATTACAGTACTCACTAGATTGGGAACTGTTTACTCCTTCCACAGTGATAGCCTAACTCAGCCTTCACTGACTGGTTGGTGGACCTCTGGGTTGTTTCTAGTTTCTGACTATTATCTGACTGCTATGAACATCTGTGCACAAGCCTTTGTGTGGGTATGTTTTTATTTCTTTCAGGCACATACCCAGAGAGGGATTGCTGGATCATAGTATACAGGTATATTAGCTTTAATAAATATTGCCAAACGTTTTCCAAAGTGATAGTACCATTTATACTTCAGCAGTAATATATGAAAGTTTCAGTTGCTCTATAAATTGACTAACATTTGATACCGCCAGACTTTAAAAACTTATTATTTTAGTCATTCTGGTGTCCATGCAGTGGTATCTCATTTTGTTTTAATTTGTATTTTTCTGTTGCTAACGATGCTGAACATTTCGAACTTTTCAAACTTACTGGACATTTGGATTTCCTCTTTTTGTGAACTGTCTGCTCAAGTCCTTTGCTTATTCTTTAAAAACTGAGTAGTCTTTTCCTTATTAAGTTGAGAGAGTCCTTTTGGATATAAGTTTTTGTCATGTATACTTATACACACATGTAAATACCTCAATATCTCAAAATCAAATAATCAAGTACCATTTCCTAGTCTGTTGGCTTGTGTTTTTGCTGGATAAGCAGAAGTTCATTAGTTTAAACCCAATTTCTCAACTTTTTGATAGAAATCACTTTAATGACCAAAAAGTTTGTTTTGCATTTATTAACAAATATCTTAGATCTTCGAAGATTTAATATGGATTTCCAAATTGGAAGTTTTCATAGTCTTTATTATCTATTATATAATTCATGCTAAACTGATATTTTGAGTTAGAAAAGTAAAGAATACTTCTAACATTTTAAGACATTCTTTCCCTAATTCCTTGAGGTTTTTTTTTTTTTTTTTTTTTACTTACATTAAATTTCCACATAAAAATAATACAACTAAAGCATAAGGTAATTCCTTCTTTTAAATACTGCATATTAAAGTAGCTGGAATTATGAATGCTAAAAAGCAAATTAGGCAATGGGCATATGAGCAGCCTAGTCAGTCTTATGCCAGTAACAAAACCTCACTTGGCCTCAATATTCAGAAATATAAAACAAAAAATTGAATTAGGTGATTGCTAAGGTTTTCCCAGCTATAAAATAAAGGCAATGAGTTCATTTAACCCTCACTTTTACCAGACTTAAAGCTCTCTTTGATGAGCTCTAAGTGTGTACTTTTCTTAAGTGTTATGCACAAGTCAGGGCTGCCACACAATTGTGCATGCACAGCTCTAGGGAAAGTCATTCACACTGCAACACCACCATACATTGTGGCCAACTAGGTTCATCTTCTTGCACTCATTTTAAGATCAGTTTCAGTCCAAGGTCACTATCACTCACATATCCCACCACCACCAAAGCAATACAATCCTCAAGTATTACTAGAGATATTTTAAGGATGTAAAAGTTGACTTTCAGAAAATCGTGATATGGTACTTTCAAAATTGTAAACCATGTCAATATGTTAACTATCCTAAAACTAATATTCAAAATTGATTTTAAAGGTCATTTTCAACCAGTTCTCTCTCTCCCAAAGCTTTTACTCTTTAAGCTACTTCTAGTTCTTTGTCTCCCTCAATCCTAAAACCCTTTAAGCTATGTTGCTGCTTGTATCCTTTCTTTCTACTCTTTCTGTGGACTCTGTCACATTCTTTAATTAGAGCACTTCTGATCTCTCTTGCTTATCTCATTTTCTTTTCCACCTATTGTTCTATTCAACAAAGCAAAGGGGGCTGAACAAAACTTCCTCCTAAAGACAGGGAACAGAATTACAATTATTTATTAAGTGTTCCTCCCAAACCTATACAATAGAAGTTATGCTATATTTGTGAGTAAGTAAGATCAAAGTAATGTCAGTTATTCCAATCTCTGTAAGGGAACTAATTTTCAGAAAAACCATTTAAACTATGATAATAAAAACTACAGGGATAATTTCTTAATAGAAATTTTTGCATATTTATTTTTAACAATAAAAGATGAGCACAAAGAATAGGTTTCAACCAGCTGTCTTTTAAACTCTGGTGGATGGAAAATTTCCTTTCCAGGAACAGGTCCTTAGGTCATTTTCCTAGGCAACACTAGACTTCTCTCGGCCACTCTTACACCTGGGATCTTTGCCCATTATAGGCATCTACATCAAGAAAATACGTTCTGTGCTAATCTGACAAGTGCCTCCTAACTTATTTTATAAGTCTGTAGCTCTGGAGGTCCTATCTTCCCGCCTACTCCATTTTCTGTCTTGTATCTGGATTCCATAAAATAGATTTATTTGATGGGCTTCTGGAATTATTAGTTTCTATAATATCAAAATAACTTAAAAATCCTATAATAATGACAAAATGTTCACCCCTCCACCATGATTGGAGATGGGATATTTGTATCTTTTAAAATCTTCAAATTAAAAGCTGTTTGCAGAACACATTAAACACTGAACATCAACAAGCAGCAGAAACTAGAACTCTCACTGTACATTAAAATTTTATTATTTCTGACCTTCTACATAGTTTTTATAGAGGAAAAACTTCAAAATACAGTGATGTACCACTTGACGATAGCTTCTGAGAAATGCATCACTAGGCGATTTCATCATGCAAACATCATGGAGTATATTCACACAAATCTAGATGGTACAGCCTACTACACATGTAGCTAGCTATATGGGGTAGCCTATTGCTTCTAGACTACAAATGTGTACAGTGTGTTACTGTACTGAATACTGTAGGCAACTATAACACAGTGTGTATACTTTTATAGGACTGTCAGTGCAGTAGGTTTACACCGGCGTCACAACAAACACACAAGTGTGTTGGGTTAGGACGGCTACGACATCTCTAGTCGATAGGAATTTTCCAGCTCCATTATAATCTTACGGGACCACTGTCAATACATGGTTCGTTGTTGACTGAAACGTCGTATTGCAGCACACTACTGTATCTGCTAGTAACAAATCTTATGAGTTATATAATACGCGATTATCAGATACAATTTTTATCTCATCAGTATTCATTCACCTCAGTTTATATGTACAATGCTTAAAAAATATACTAAAAGCATTAAAAAACTTTCCCCTTTAGTAATTTAGACAAATATTTCTCTTACCATGCAAATATATAATTTTATATACAAAATGAACTCTCTCTTTTCATGAAACAGAGTTCTGACTCTGAAATAAGTATATACTTTTTTCAGGATAAAATGTATTTAGCAAATTTTTCCCAACACAATAAATTATTATTATATGATCAGTAGTAATCAAAAAAGCTTTATGTTCACATCAGTATTTGAAATAATACTGCCTTACCATCTCTGTAAGGGAACTAATTTTCAGAAAAACCATCACTAACAATTACCTTGTACATGTCAACAATGTCTTTAGAATACATACCTCTTGTGCAAGATCTTGTACATTGGAGATAAGAGGAAATGGAGGACTGGCCTTGTTCATGTGCACTGTGACAGCATTGTATATCTTAAATGCATTCTGGAAATCTTTATTTTGTACAAGTTGTAAAAGCAGTGAAATATCCTCCTGGCTCTGAGAATCTACCAAAGTATGTTGGATATGTTTAAGTGAAGAAAACAAATCTTCCACTTCTAGTAGGAAAATGAAAAGGTATAAAAAAATTAATTTTCCATCTTAATTCAACATTTAAGATAAAATATTTTGAACCGTAACAATTAAAAAACTCCATGAAACTTGCTAGATATATATTTAGTGTGAAGTCACTGTCATTTTACTGATTTTTAAGTAACACTCTTTAAAATTATAACAGAATAGAATAACATTTTTTGAAAGTGTTTTAAATATAAAACAAATACATACTTACTATAAAAACAAATGAGCAGAGGAATACAGAAATGGAAAAAAAAATTTTAAATCACCAATAGTCCCATCACCTAGAAACAACTTTATTTTAAACATTTTACAGCATTTCCTTTTTTCATTTAACAGTACATTTTAATTGTTTTCTCAAATCACCAGTCTTTAAAAGACATTACATATAATGGCTCCATGATATTTTACTACATGGCTAAATCATAATTAATAATAACCATTACACTAAAGCTGAACATTCAGGTTGCTTTCAATTTTTTGCTCCTATAAGTAATAACCACTTGAGTACATAATGATCAATGCTGCATAAAAATTTGTCTATAGAGATTCTGATGTTTTCTTAAAATAATTCCTAGAAATAGAGTTTTAAAATAAGATTCTGACACTTTAAAAGTCAAACAACTTTCCAGGGAGATTTTTATGAATTTACGTCTCATTAGCAGTATTTTCTCCAATATTCAACATTACCATTTTAAAAAATCTTCAATTTCTTTAATAGGGAAGTTAAAGTTTATTCATATTTACCAAGTACTTTGTGGTCCATAAAAATCTTATGAACACGAGTCTTATTATACTGAAAGTTGTGGCATATGTATGTGTGTGCGTACCTGTTAGTGTGCATACGTAGCATATGCATTTTTCTGGGAGTTATCTCAAAATGGTTAAGAACCAGAGATTGTCTCCTCCTTGCCTTATTATAATAGCATTATGGTCTTTGCTCATATTAACATGACAAGTACTTGCTCATTATTTTTTCAAAAAATGCCTTGACTATTCAAAATATAATTTACAGAATATTTTTTTCAAGATATCTCCCACTCTCTCTTTCCTATTCTTCCAAAAAGAAAAGTTATTGAGATTTTGACTGAAATTAAAACTGTAAATGAACATGAAAAAAAACTCACAGTGGATACTGTCTTCTACTCAGTCTTTTCAAGTCTTGTTTTCTTTATATAAGACCTTCAAAAAGCTATTGAATTTTGTACATTTACCTTGTATCCCACTACTTAAAGCAGTTAAATTTTTTATAGATTTGACTAGTTGTCCAGTTGATTCCTGATGTTCCCTCTCCCCCCACCAATCAAAACAGATTTAGTGCTCTTACAAAAATATGTGCTGTTTAGTAACTTAAAATGCAGCAAAAAAAGGGGGAAAAGAACTAGGAAGTCAAACTGTCATCAGAATGACCTAAGAAGCTGTGACTCAGAGCTAAATACAACGTGACAGTCAGAATTGAACCGTAAGTTGCTATCTGCAAGAGTAGACAGAATACAGACAGGGGAAACTGGGAGATGTTGGTCAAAGTACAAACGCTCAGCTTTACGAGAATAAGTTCTGGGATCTAATGTACAGCATGGTGACTACAGCCAATTGTACTGTATTGTGTACTTAAAATTTACTGAGAGTAGCTCTTAAGCGTTCTCACACACACAAAAAGGAACTACATGAGGCAATAGAAGTGTTAATTAACTGTAAATATTTCACAATGTGTACATCAAATCCTCACATTGTACACTTTAGACATACAGGATTTTGTCAATTATACTTCAATAAAGTTGGGGGTGGGGGGATATGGAATGTCAGATTCCATGAAATTCAAAGAGGTTATCACAGAATTACCTAAGTGTATAAAGAATTTCCTAAGAATATAAAGAATTCAATAGCTTTAAAGTATCTTTAGATCAAAACAGTACAACATTTAAGTATCTTAAAAGAAAAAATAATTACAAACCAACAAAACAGTTAAGGTAATTGGCTACAATCTTATGGATACTACTGACTTCCCTGAGTGGAGAAGGGGATTCCCGTTTAAATTTTTAGTAATTCTTTAAAGGGGCTCAGCCTGGCTGTCAGGGCAATGAGAAAAATCAGGAACTTCAGATTTCAGCATTGACTGAGATCAATAAGCAACTTTAGTCAGTCCAGAAAGTACCCATCTCCCTACTGTGTCTTTTCAACCCTCGGGAGATTAAAAATTTTAAAGGCAAAAGAACTTTTGCAACTCTCCTATGTACCAAAGCCACCCAGTTGGACATTAACATACTGATATATATATCCTTTCAGCTATAACTACTGGTGTTATTTTGTTATACTATATGGCCTTTCAGACTTAAAAAAAAAAATGCTAATCTACCATACAGATCAGATTGTAAATGTTGTTTTGCAATCTGATATTTTCTGGTTTCTTTAGAATAAATTCCTAAGATAAAATTACTGATCAGATAATAAAAATTTTTATAACTTTGATATGTATTGCCAAACTGCCATCCATATTTGTATTTATAGTCTAACCAGCAATTAACTTGAGTGCCTGTTTCTACAAACACAAAATGAATTAAGGATGATAAATCTTTTCAGTTCTGATGATCTGGTTAGGAAAAATACGTATTTATTTGCCTGGGAGTGAGGTGGATATATTTTCACAAAGTTAACAGTCATCTGTATTTCTTCTTTCATCCTTTTTTTTCTTTTGCCCATTTTTCTACTAGAGTTTTTTTTCTTTTTTCCCTTATGACTGAAATTACATTGATTTATAAAATGCCTAGAGTTACAAGCACGACATACAGAATGTAATTTTATCTTTTCTTGCTATATTAGAACAATGTATTTTAATCAAGGATATTTATGAGAATTAGTAAGGAAATTTAGAGATCTCTGTCCTGAGTTCAACCTCAAACACAATCAGCATCTCCTATATATATTTGATTAAATGTACCCTTTTGGTTAAGAACTACTGATTTAAAGGCTTTATTAACATCAGTTGTAATATTTTAAGACATGATATATTTGTGACTCACTAAAGTACTCAAAATGATTTCCTTCTATAATAAGTAAACTAGAGTAATATATATTGAGTTTTTGTGTCTACTTTTAATAGGTATTAAATTTCTTCCTTGACAACTGCCTCCTTTTGTTGCCCTCTTTGAGCTTCTGTTATAACATGGCATATAGTTTTCATATTTAGAATATTTTAAGTATAAATAGGATACTGTAGTCATTAGCCAGCAAGAAAAACTAGGGAAAGTAAGGTAGGGTAACCTAAACTAGGAATGGCTTAGTGAGAGATACAACTTGAGATCAATGACCTTATTTCAGGAGATCAGTTAACTCAATCAGGAAATGGGGCATTTTGTGCTTAGTCCCAAAGAAATGACAGCTTTAAAGTTCTAAGAAATTAGTAGGCTTCTCATGTTGATAGGAACTGAGGTTATGAGTTTTCAGAAAATGATGAAATCTAGTTAATTTCTCCATATTGTCTTCATACTGAGGAATTCTAAAGCCATAAAGACCAGGTAGGACAGTTTAAAATCCATAAAAAAACCTCAGGGTCAAACTGGAAATGTTTTTCACTTAGGAGGTCAGGAACCAAGATCAGATCTATAGGAATGGGAAGGCTATAAAGCAGAAGATTACAACTGCACTCCAAAGATGCTGATAACCTAGTACCTAATAATGGGTTCTGGGAGAACATAAGGACCATGCCAGCACAAGAAATATCAACAAACTTAACTAGGCTTAAGGTTCAAGCCTTTTAGGTTAGCATTAAGACGAATGCAAACTTGCTAATTATCCTTCAGAACTTCATTCACCTCTATTGAGTCCTGCTCACGTTTTAATTAGTAAAAACTGTTTTCAATGAAATTATCTTTTCTTGGGAGTTGTCTCCAGAGTTGGGAGTTGTCAATCAACGTTGCCAGACTAAATTAAAATCACTTGCACTGAAGCTGAGTTTTACAATTAAGTATCACCAACCATTATTGAAAAACTACAAGTGTCTATCTGTCCCAAATTGCACAGATGTAGAACAATACCATGTTATATGCATATACATTTTATGCAATCCTCATAAAAATCCTGAAAAACTTTTTCCAATGAAAACCAAAACCATCAAAACCTGAGACATAACAGATCAAATCTCTACAGATGGAGAAAATGATGTCATACATAAAAATGGCACCTGGATCAATAATTCATTTCTTCAACTTCTAAGACTGCTTTTTCTGCCACATTAAGGGAATAATAAAAGATAAGCTTTTTTTCTGCAGGTTCTAGGGCTTGATTGTGATAGGTTGTTTTTCTGTTTTAGAAAAGCTGTCCTAAGATATCTTTTCACCCAATACAGCAGCATGTAACATACACTGACAAGAATTTAGAGAAGTTTATGCACACTAGTTATGTCACCGTGGATCTGTACGAGGAATTTCCTCTAGTTAACTGTGCTTGTGCATGTCTCCATACATACTGCATGTCTTAATTCTTTTATACACTTTTTATAATACTGTTGGCTACTTTTATAATATCATATTTTAATTCTATTTTAAGCAACTGTCTTATGGTCTAAATATTTTCTCAGAGTATTTTATTTCAGCTCTAACAGTACAACGGTATACTAGGTAGTATACTGGGAAAAGTTCAGCAAAAGAAACTAAAATTGCAATTTCTGTGAATGTAGAGGCTATGTATCTTTTTGAGAAATGTTGTAAAGCATCTCTGACAGTATTGCACTAGCCTGGGTAGCAAAGTAGTACAGCAAAATTTGATAACTATGATTTACATGGGCAGTTTTCAGATAAATTCTGTATCTGCTTTCATGACCAATTTAGCTGGGAAGGTTTCCAGACGGCATTTTTAGGCTGGAAAGTTGCCCAAAGTTCTCTCATCCCTCAAGCTCAAACATGCTTCCATTGAAAATGTTTAATGAATAAGCAGAACAGATTAAGTTAACAGACACTTAGAAGAGTTTTTAAAACTTTATGAA